GGGGTTAAAAGGAAATATGTCGCATGTAAGCCAAACGAGGATAAAGCACAGTGAGAAACAAAAACAAAAGGTGAAGTCAGTGGCAATATGGCTGATGCCTTGCGACATCAGTTCTCGGCTGCCTGGGGTATCATAGTGTGACCTTCACTCTGCGCTGCATCTACGTTGTTCTCCTGCTCGACCTGCTGCTCCTGCTGCTGTTGCTGCTGTGCTTCCTCACGTTGACGGCGTTCTTCCTCCTCCCGTACGCGCTGCGCAGCTTCCGCAGCATTGCGCACCGCAACCTGGCGCTCGCCTACTCCGGGCACCAGGCTCGCAATGAACAACGCCACAGATCGCTCCACCCTCCGCAGCTGACGACGCATTTCACCTGCAACCCCTGTGCGGGGGTTGCCGTTCGTTGGGCCACCACCACTACCACCACCAACAGCACCTTGGCCACCCTGGCCTTGGGCCTGAGCCGGCTCATTAGGGGTAAGATGAACTAGACTCTCAAGGTGTTGCTGCACTGGAGCCACAAACAACTGGTACAGTCGCTGATCCACCCCGGTTTCCGAGGATAGCACGAAGAGCACGGCCAGCGTCACAAAGAACACGCGCGCCCAAGTCCCGGGTTCGGTGAACATGTAGCAGAAGAAGTATAGCCGGGCGAACTGCCAGAGCCGTAGGATGATCCGCGCAAGGCCCAGTCGTCTGTTCCGGTTGGGGTTATTGTCGAGTCCCCGCTGGTTGAGCACGGCCCGGCGAACGACATTGTCCAAGACGGCTGCGTTCGCATTGGGGGGAATCTCAGGCATCGGAGCAGTATCTTGGTGTGGTGTGCGATTTGGAAGGTGGGTTGCGCGAAGTCTCTCGATGGTTGCCTGCATGGCCTCTGCCCCTTGGGGCGAGGAAAGAAGCCCCTGGTATCCGGATGGGGATGATAGTAGATACAAAGAAGCTGGTCCAGGTGCGGACGTAGCGATCGCAGCACTGGCTGAGGTGTTCTGCAATCGTGGAAACCCGGCTTCAGACAGGCGGAGCTGGTGGGCGCGCGTGTATATATTGAAGACGCGGGACAGCAGCCCTTCGATTGAGCCATCGCGTTCAGCAAGAGGGTTCATACATTGTTCATCCAGGATGGTGAGTAAATGTGTTCGGATTCTAATTATGTGATTCATCGGAGGCGCAATGCCGCGGTTCAGCTGGCTTTCTGCTAATTCCACTTGACGACTCAAAATCTGCAAGCACTCTTCCGTTACTAGAGTGCTAGAAAGAGACACAGTGTTTGAAAGACCAGTGGCTGCCACTGTCTCGAGTGAGGATGTCTGTGGCAGTTCTGGGCGTGTTGTAGACACCGAGGACGATCGATCTGGCCACGTTGGTCGCTGCTGCTGGGCAGCCGAAAGTGCTGGGTTCAAGCTGGACGAGAAGGCGGTTGTACCTCCCGACAAGTTGCCTCGGTCCCGCATCTCGATTTGCCGTCGAATTGTCTCAATATTACGTCGCAAGGCCAGTCCGACCTCGGCTTCAGACGCGCCTGTGCGCTCTGGCTCAGCTCTGGGTGTGGGTAGCTCAGGTCGGAGGGCCATCGATGGAAGGTGAATAGCAGAATCCGGAATGAATTGTGGTTGTTGCGGACCAGGGGAGCTGAGGGTGCGTGGTGCCGAAGATTCAGAAGATGGAGGAAGAACAAGATGGATGGAATACTCGGTGGCCTTCACAGAAATTACCAGTCAGCTAGGTTATAACAGAGTGATTGCAGGCACAATCAAAGAATCAAGTTCTCTTACATTAGGCGGCTCCAGTACATCTCTCAACGCTGCCGCATCATTCAGAAGTGGCTTCCCACGATAAATCAAACGTTGGCTGTCCGGAGACGGCTGGCTCGGAATTGCTCCTGCGAGTCGGGCCTTCAGATCCGCGACAGTCGTAGATGGGGACACATCTTGAATGGTGTACCGATTAGGAGGAGGTAATGATGGACACAAGACATGCAAGGTGAAGCTCTCGGGCGAGTCCGATGATGCGCTTGGAATGCCTGTAGTCGAGGCCATCTTTCTATGCTGGGATTTTGGCGCTGTTCAGAGAACGATTGGTTTACAGGCACATAGTCACAAGTTGTAGAGCCGTTTCACATCGAGCACGCTGTCGGATAAGTTGGTTCAGGCAAACTGTCTTCCGCCGCGGAAGTACAGTACAGTCCAGGTCCCGGTGCCAACGGTGTCCTTTTCAGTGACACCAGGTCTAGCTGGCACCCACAAGGCGATTCAAATGACGCACAGTCTCGCGTATCACCTATGGGAGAGCAAATATTTTCAAGTGTACAGAGCCAAACAGCAGCAACAAGAACCCACCGATTGCTGATAAAGATGATGACAAGATGAGTACCGTCAGTGTATAGACACGCCAAACAAATGGCGGAGATGGCCCATTCTGCCGGGCGGTGAAGATGCCTTCTTGCCGATCACGTTCAGGAAATGAGGATTGCTGCTTCTGTCTGCTCTTCGCCATCAAAGCCCCATTTTCACAATTTCACACCTTACTTGTGCCGGTTAATCGTAAATTTTCACGTGCCTCACCCGCCCTCGGTTATTGCCCCCCCTCTGGGATGACTCTCACCCAGTAGAGTCGCATTATGGCCCTGTGCCTGTCCAGTTGTTCTGCGCTGTTTCGCCGGAAGGTGTTGATTTCCCCTCATGTGGAGAGGGCTGGATTGATGGAAGTGTCGTTGAGGGCCACTGGTCGTCGTCCGGCCGGTGCTCGCCACTTTTCCAAAACCTGGAAACAATCCCAGAATCAGGACCAAAAACAAAACTCGTCTCGTCGCAGCACATTCGGCTCCCGACTCCGTTTCGCGCTCCGCAACACCAAAGTCGAATGGTACCCCATCCCCGTCGGTCTAGGCATCGGCCTTCTCGGCCTGCTGCAGTTCTATAAGGCCCAGCGGGCTGAAAGAGAACGAGCTGAGCGAGAGGCAGCCGGAGAGCCTTTCGACTTCCATAATGCCCCTGCTCGTCCCAAACATCGACTCAGCGGACCATGGCAGGTCCAGATTATGTCCACCTTGCCCCTTAAAGCTATGTCCCGACTCTGGGGTCGCTTCAATGAAATCGAATTGCCCTACTATTTCCGTGTTCCTGGCTTCAAGTTGTACTCCTGGATCTTTGGCGTCAACCTTGACGAGGTCGCCGAACCCGACCTTCACACGTATCCCAACTTGGCCGCGTTCTTCTACCGTCAGCTGAAACCCGGTGTTCGACCTTTGGATCCAGATACCCGTGCTATCATCTCGCCTTCCGATGGAAGAATCCTGCAATTCGGACTCATTGAGCGGGGCGAGGTCGAGCAGGTCAAGGGCGTTACCTACAGTTTGGATGCCCTTCTGGGATCTGCCACTCCAACCCATGCGGACCATACCAAGACTTTCACCGACCATCAGACCGAGCCGACCCAAAAAAATGAGGCTAAGATGCTGGCTGATGAGGAATTTGCCGAAATGAACGGAATCTCCTATACGCTACCAACTCTACTCGCAGGCGAACCGGGAGGCGCACGGAAACGCTCAGCCTCGATGGATGCGTCTACTACTTCCAAGGTTGATGCTGAAGAAGAGGTGAAGGCTGACTTGGCCCGTGGCGATGGAACTCCGTGGTACGCCCCGAAGGCAGCCGCCAACCACGCGCTCTACTATGTTGTCATTTACTTGGCTCCTGGTGACTACCATCGCTTCCACTCTCCTGTGCCGTGGGTGGTAGAGAGCCGCCGTCATTTCGCTGGCGAACTGTTCTCAGTTTCACCATATCTTCAGCGCCACCTTCCGGGTCTCTTTACCCTCAACGAGCGTGTCGCCCTGTTGGGTCGTTGGCGTTGGGGATTCTTCAGTTATACGCCTGTGGGAGCGACCAACGTGGGCTCGATCAAGGTCAACTTCGATGCAGAGCTGCGTACCAATAGCTTGACTACGGATACCGCTGCCGACAAAGCTGCCGCCGAAGCCGCAGCGCGTGGCGAGCAGTACCCAGGATTTGTTGAAGCGACATACCGCCACGCCAGTCGCACCCTGGGAGGGCATCCTCTTCAGCGTGGTGAGGAGATGGGAGGCTTCCAGCTGGGAAGTTCGATCGTGCTGGTGTTCGAGGCACCTATGGGCTCCCGCAAGTCGTTCGATGCCGGTTGGGAAGAGGGCAAACGCGAGGGAGGCTGGAACTGGACCATCGAAAAGGGACAGCGGATTAAGATGGGCGAGAAGATCGGATATGTGGACGTTTAAAATTAGACTAAGTCGCTTTTAATTGTTTCTGTATTATAGTACTACATTTGTTGAATAGCGAGAATACTTCGTCGGGCCACCACCCCCACGAGCTCATAGAATATATTCTACTTTCGAGCCGAGGACTTTTTCCAGATCACGACAAGGATATTCCAGTACAGTAAAAGGTTCCACTGACACAAGTTTTTCCATGAACCCTGTAAGCATTAAATTGACTTGCCGACCATCCTCACCATTTGCCAAGGCTTCATTTGTGTTACAAGCTCATTACTCGAATTGACCAACGTGTTGATCCAGGACGACAATTGCTGGGCTGGACTTATCGCGCATTGCTATAAACGATAAGCCAACACGTGATTGATAACAGACGCGGTCCCCCATCGCAGCTTCACCTTTTCTCCCCTCGAGACCATAAATCAAAACAATAGCAAGTAACCAACGATTCAGTCAGCTTGGGAGTCATGGCTATGCGATAATCGCTACCTTATACCATACAGGTCAGACATTTCTGTTCAAGGGCACTTCTCACCATGCCGCGCCACCACCATATCCTTCGCCGTAACCACAACCAACCCGACACGTCCTCGCCATCGGACCTTCAATATCAACAGCAACAGCAACAGCAACAGCAACAGCAACAGCAACCACCTCCAGCGCCCCAACGTATCAACCGCGCCCGTCTCGGCCAGAGCCACCATGAAACTCCCACCTCCCAGTTCCAGACTCCCCCCTCGCGCGGCTTTCCCATCCCTCGGCTTCACCCATCCTCGGGACCCATAGACGACCCGACCCACCCGCTGCATAGTCACCAGCAAGCCCAACAAGCCCAGCAGCAGCGCCAACAACACCCTGCCGCCGCCGCCGCCCAAGTCGCATTGTTCTCTTTATTCGGACGCGGGGTCCATGGCCGGGGCCACGGGGATCTGCGCCATCGACACCCGCCGCACGATCGGATGGAACAGGACGAGGACGAGGACGAGGACGAGGAAGAGGACGAAGACATCGATGACTCGATGCAGCAGCATCGGTATCCCTCGTCTCACCGTCATCTCCGCCATCGCCATCATCATGGTGTAGGCGAGACCGGCCATGATTCGGAGGGAGAAGTGGACGAAGACGACGAGAGATTAGGTCTTCATGCCGCGCATGACGGAGGGGGATTAGGGGCCGAAGAGGAGGAAGAAGCGCTCGAAGAGGAAGAGGAAGAAGAGGAGGAGGATGATGATGATGATATGCTCGCGGATCCGGATGTTGATGATGGTGATGAGGAGATGTTAGGCGAGAGAGGTAAGCTTTCTTCTTTCTGTCTTTCCAATTCATTCTATATCTACAACCACCCCCCTCCCCCCCTCCCCTTACCCTCTCCCCGTTTTTGAAAGTCGAATGAACTCCTGACAAACACATCTAGATAAATCCCCTACCCCTCTCCCCGCCAACCTCCGCGAGATCTCCTCCCTCGCCTCGTGGACCGTCTCCACCCACAAACCGGGCTGCGGCGTCAGCGCCCTCCGCCACCCGTCTCCGACCCAGTACTGGCAGTCGGACGGCCCGCAACCCCACACCCTGACCCTGCACTTCTTCAAGCTCGTCGCCGTGGTGCGCATCCGCGTGTACCTGGATTTTGAGATGGATGAGAGTTATACCCCGACCAAGATGGTATTTCTGGCCGGGATGGGGGGGAATGATCTCGTGGAGTTCGCGACGTGGGAGGGTGAGGGTCCCTGCGGGTGGGTGGATGTGGAGTTGGAAGGGGTTGGCGGGAGGAATACTGTGCATTCGTTTGGGGAGGTCCAGGGTGGAGGTAGTAGGACGAGGAGGAGGAAGCTTCAGGGGGTGAGAGGGAAACGGAAGGGGTGGGGGGCCACTGGGAGGAGAGGAGCTACGAGTTATGTAGGTAAGGGGAAGGCGAAAGGGAAAGGGAGGGATGTGGGCCACGGGGACGAGGATGATGTGATGATGGATCAGCATGACACGGAGGAGAGCCTGTATGAAGATGCGAGGGCTTATAGGAACGAGGAAGAGGAGGGCGATGATGAGGAAGATGACGACGACGAGAACGATCCGTACGCTGGGAACGTGCTCAAGGCCATGGTCATTCAGATGAAGGTGACTGAGAATCATCAGAATGGCAAGGATACTCATGTCCGTGGCTTCCAGGTCTTTGCACGCGATGACGAGCGCAAGAGGTTGGCCAATGCCCCGTCGGCGTCGGCGGATGGCAGAGTGCGACGACACAGTGCGCGTCGCTCATTGCGGGGAAGCACGCATGATGAGATGGCCGAGGGAGCCGGTGGTGGAGGACGGGAACATGCAGTTGCCGAAGCTGAGCGCGCTGTGACAGGAGTGGTGGCCAGTCTGGAGGAGCCGGATTGGATGGGCGAGCCGGTCATTAGGTAGCTGGTAGACGGGCGTTCGATTGCATCGCATTTGTATCGGAGTTGGCCGGTAGATACCCTTATTCTGTCTATTCGAAAGTGTTCTTTATAACTGTGCGATAATCTTTCATATGTGGGGAAGAATATAAGAGTTTGGTATTAATATGGTCATATCTCATTCGGCATCGATGCCCCCAAAACACACAACTCAGCGGAGAACAAAAGAAAGAACTTTTATGCCTTTTACAACAACTTCTCCAGCTCAGCAGCGACGGCATCGCCGACTTCGCTGGTGGTAGCCTTGCCGCCGATGTCGCCGGTGCGGAGACCGGACTCGATAACGTTGCGAACGGCGGCCTCGATGGCGCGGGCCTCGTCGAACCGGCCGAAGGAGTACTGCATCATCATAGCAACCGAGAGGATGGCGGCGACGGGGTTGACAATGCCCTTTCCGGCGATGTCAGGGGCAGAACCTTTGGGGGCACCGTGTTAGCATCGAGTGCAACGCTAGATACATACACGAACGAAGGAGGTGACAACATACCGTGGATGGGCTCGTAGATACCGTTGACACGGCTCTTGCCGTCGGGGATACCGCTCAGACTGGCACTGGGCAACAGACCCAGGGAGCCGGGGATGACACTGGCCTCATCGCTGATGATGTCACCGAAGAGGTTGCTGGTGACGACGATACCGTTCAGCTGGCGGGGATTCTTGACCATGATCATGGCAGCGGAGTCGATCAACTGGTGCTCGATCTTGAGCTGGGGGAACTCCTTGGCCATGACCTCGGTGACGGTCTTGCGCCACAGGCGGCTGGTGGCCAGCACGTTGGCCTTGTCCAAGCTCCACACGGGGAGAGGGGGGTTGTGCTGGAGGGCCAGGTGGGCGGCCAGGCGGGTGATGCGCTCGATCTCGGCGCGCGAGTAGGGCTCCGTGTCCATGGCGTATCCGCTGCCGTCGTCCTCCTTGCGGTCGCCGAAGTAGATACCGCCCGTCAGCTCGCGGATGATGTTGAAGTCGACGCCGCGGCACACCTCCGCCTTGAGCGGGGAGTGGTCGACCAGCGAGGGAGCGGCGAAGTTGCAGGGACGCAGGTTACCGAAGGTGCCCATCTCCTTACGGAGCTTCAGGAGACCCTGCTCGGGACGGACGGCGCCAGTACCCCATTTCTGTAGGATATAGTATATTAGCCGAGGGGCAGCATGGATGGCGACTCGCGGACTGGGTTACGTACGGGGCCACCGATGGCTCCCAAGAGCACGGCATCGGCATTCTTGGCCGCAGTCAGGGCCTCGTCAGTCAGGGGAGAGCCAGTGGCGTCAATGGAAGCCTAAGGTCGAGGTCAGAAGCTATATCAACACCTTCAAAAGGTTCGCACATACACCGCCCAGCAGATGATCCTGAAGGTTGAGGGTGATATCGTCACGCTTCTTCTCAATGACGCGAAGGACCTGATCAGAAGTGAAAGTCAGCATGCATTGCAAGGGTACTTAGCTTCCACAGCCCATTGGGAGGTCACGAAGCTGTATTGCAGCGTTATGGGTGGTTGACTCACCTTGATGGCCTCAGCGGTGACCTGTCAAGTACGTATACGTCAGTCTATGAGCTCCCTAGCGCGGGGTTCCAGGACGGGTATCTCTTACCTCGGGACCGCAGTGGTCACCGGCAAAAACGACGATGTTGAAAGTAGACATGACGAATGGGAGACGGAGGGAGTGAGAGGGGTATTGAGTCAGAATGTTAGAATTAAGAAGATAGCGAGAATGAGAAAGGAGCGGATAAATATACGATCTGGCGGGGGGGAAATGCAAGCCTCCCCCGCGCCGACACCGGAGTCATTGCCGGCACTAGCCGAGACCGGCTAGAAGCTTGAGAGCGGCTGCCCGTAAATTTTACTCCGGGGTACAAACAGACCGAACTTGGAACGAGAAAAGCCACGAGGCAAGAATAAAGGTGATAATATTAATAGGGAGAGTGAACACGGGTTGGAAGGAGCTGTATGAATGCGAAACACAGCGGAGAACATAATGTAGGAAAGAAACAGTATAGATAATAGGTAAACAATGCGCCGAGAATCATTCACCCTTTTGTCCAGAGACAGATAGTCCCTCCACAGACTCATATGCCACAATTTCCTCCCAACACATATATGGAAGTTACCAGAAAGACACCCGGGCTATTGGCCCCAGTTGACAGAACCGACCAGAGCACCAGAACCATGCACGGAAGAAAGTAAAGATAAAACGACCGGCCCAGCAAAGACCGCCGTCCGGCCGACCGGAGGCATCCGGAGAAGAAGCGAGCTCGAAGGCATTAAAACGGCTGACTCGACGGTTGACTCGAAAGAAAGAAACACCCGGAATCACCACCTGCGCCTGACATGGCCGGGCCTTAATTGTTCTTGGCCGTCCGCATAGCCTTCCGGCTGGCCATGTCACCTTCAGCCAGCCACTTGCTGGCCTTGACCAGCTGCACAACGTTGATGAACTGCTTGAGCGCCATGACTGGGAAGGAGATTCCGGTAATAACCCAGGGCCAGAAGCTGTCAATCTTGTTCGCACGAGCCAACTCAAGGGCGCCTGCACTCCAAGGGCTGGAGTACCCCTCTGGAGGGGGAATGGTCGTGTCGCCAGCCGGGCCCCCAACCTTGGGTTGAAGCAGGGAAGGAGAGAGAGTGGGCGAGGAGAAGGAGAGCAAGTAGAGACCGATGAAGAACAGCTCATTGAGAGCGCAGCAAATGAACAGGACCGTCTGTGCACCATATTAATATACTGACCCAGACGTAAAAACACCGGAAGAAACTAACCCGACTGTGGTAGTACTGGTACAGGACCCAGCTGCGGCTGGAGTCGACCTTCTTGTGGCTCTGGCTGGAACCTCCCATGCTGAGCGTCGCGTACATGTGCATGTAGTGACTAGCCATATCCAACGCAATCAGACTCTGGAAGACGATCGACCACCGGGGCCAGGCCGAGCTGAGGAACACCAGCAGACACGCCGTTGTGCACCGATCCGTCACCATGTCCAACACGGCACCGAAGGTAGTCGACTGGTTGAAGTATCGTGCCGCATATCCGTCTAGGGCATCCAACAGGCAGGAAACACTGTAAAGGAGGGAACATGTCCGCGGATGCAGGGGCATGTAGTAAAGCGAAGCCATTGTCAACACCACACGCGCATAACCTAGTTTCCGCGCTATGTATTAGACCCAAGAACCGGTATTCCCGCGGAGGACATGTATCTCTCACCAATCAGATTTGGCGCGAATAAGAAAACGTTCTCTTGCACTTCTCCATCCGCAGCAGCTTCCGGGCCATTTTTCGATGACGGCTGGAGCGTTCCATTGACGGCGGGTGACGGATCCGTGGCTTCCAGCTCAGCGGAGGCCTTCTGGCTTCTAGTGCGCGGGCTCATTTTTACTCTGAGGTTGGTTATGTGGAGGAGGCTAAGGAGAATAGATTTTGTCGATGGACGAAGGTGTAAGACCGAGAGAGGCTTGTTCCGGGAGTTTCCACGAGGTACACACTGCGATCGATAGGAGGAGATGATGAATATAGAACGAGATACTGGGACAACGACTTGGTGATTCAAAAAGAAAAACAAATGTTAGCAGAGTACCAGACAGTCATCTCAAATGGAGAACAATAAATTCCGAAATGATAGGTTGGGGAGGGATGGATCGGGAAGCTCGTGCATATATTGATCTCCTGAATTAAAGCTCTGAAGCACACGTACCGATTTATTGTCCTGACGCGCTTTTTATTGTTGCTTTTGGCGAGCAAAGATACTGCTCCAAAGTGTGATGAATATGACTCAAGCTTAGGAAGCAGATGCAGCACCCAAGAAAGAAAAGGCGCACAAAGAAAGCAGCGTAAAGGGGAAGAAGGGTGGAGGGTTGAGGGGAAAGTTGTTCGTTCAGGAGAGGGTCGATGAGGTGAGTTGGGGTCGCCGCCGCTCTGTGGATTATTGCTTGGCTGTCCGAGTGGGCGCTGTCGATAAGCTGCGGTGATAAGCGGTTGCGACCATCAACTTAACAGCTTCCTAGTAGGCTTGTCCCTCAAACACCTGGAGGAACAGTGGGCAATTTTGGAAGCAGCATTGAGCTCATTCTCATAGAAATTACAGAAACATCACAACTCAATCATTGAAGAGATAGGCATTTTGTACTTCGCAAGCTTCTGATGCTGCTTGCGGCTACAAGCATTCCTTTCCGCTCCGGGCGCGGCTTTAGTGTTCTATTCCAGGGGGACGTTCTTCCATTGCGGTATGGATGGTACACAGGTCGGATAGACGAGGCTCGAGAGAGAAATAGAGAAACAAATAGTATGATCATGTTCTGCGTGTGTATGTACAAGATGCAGCAATAACAAAAACTCCGCCCTTCGGATCAGTCAGTTCGACTCGACACAAGAGGTGCACGGATCAAAATGTGAAACTATATACAGAAAGAACCACCTCTTCCTTCGCTCTATCAATATCTAGCATTATCATCATCATCGTCGAGACCGCCGAGGATCGGTTGCCTCTTGTCGCCGCCAATCGCGCGCCTCCTTCGTGCCCATACTGCCTAATCCACCTTCCAGCCGACGTTCCCAGCCGCCTAAGCGAACAACCAGGCAGGTGGCGTTATCCCCGTCGCGCGTCACTTCAGTTGCGAAGCTGACAACATCACGAGCCCCCTGGTCTGGCGTCTTGGCTTCCTTGATGATATCTACTACTTCCTGATCTGGTAGCGTGCCGCTGATGCCGTCCGACATCAGCACCAAGAAGGAATATTCAGCTGGGCCCATTTCCACCCGACGAATTTCGGGCTCGGCCGACACACCGATGCGTTTGGATTGCATATCGCCAAATGCTCGCGTGTTTGCCAGCCCACTCATGCGCTCCTCTCCGAAAGAATCCGTGACAAAGGTGGTGGCATAACGACGGAGCCGGCTGGCCTCAATCGGCGAGGAGGGATGGTGGTTGGACGTTAGGGGAATCGCCTGGCCAGTTTCAGTCGAGCACAATAGGATGCGAGTATCTCCAACGTGTGATACGAGGAGACTAGACGGGGCTCCTGGATGCCAGAAAGGAGCTGGCGTGGGGGTGGAGATGAGGGCCACACTCGCTGTGCTTCCGCCCTTGAAGCGATTGGTACCACCGACGTTCAGCGCCGGACCGTTTTCAGGACCGTACAAGATGTCATCTTGATACATGGGTTGGCTGACACGCGCGGGATCGTCATCCTGCTTGGCGGCTTGCGCCGAGACGAATTCCAGATCAGTTCGCAGAAAGGCGTATTCCAAGATCTCCTCGATGGTGACACCAGAAGAGCTCTCCCTGCGCGTGTGCGCAAAGTGAGAGGGAGAGAACCGCTTGAAATAGCCCCCAACGAGAGTCCTCCAGTTCTGCAATAGAATCTTCTCAAGCTTGGCGGCGCGTTCGCAATTGCCTCTTTGGAAGATCGGCAATTCGCCAGAGGACGGGTCCGCACCTCTGGGTATCTGCCCCTGAGGCCCACGCCGCAGACTGGATTGGAGCTCAAATGCGGCCGCAGTATCTTGAATGGCCTCGTGCAGAGTGTCTTTCAGAAAGTTGCTACATTCTGATCCGCCATGACCGTCGAAGATGCCAAAGTAAAAAACTTGGGGGTCTCCATTCGCATTGTCGGCACCCCGGTTTTCACGGGGCGCAGAATCCGGATTACCTGCGGCTTTGATTGTCAAGGATGCTGGTGGCCGCTTCGCAAACGCAGGAATGTCAATGACTCCGGCCTGATATGTATCCTCGTTGGACGGCCGCGTGCCCCGTGATGTGTGGGCGCCAAAGTGGTGCTTCGCATTGCGAAGCGGAATGCGAACGACAGTGGTATCCCGATCGACTAAAGGCTGAATAGTGGTAGGGGAATGGGTCGAATCGCCCGTATGAGGCACCGACGCGGCGCGAGGCAATTTATGGAAAGGGGTGAGGGGGCCTCGAGGGTCGGGGTGTAGGGATGACGATGGCAGGCGAGTGACGAAGTAGTCGTGAAATTCGGGTCGCTTAGACCCAGTCACAGAGACACATGGACTCGAATATCGACGGCGAGAGAGTCCAGGGAGAGCTGAACGTATACGAGCAGGTTAGTTTGCGAAGACATGGTTATTAATGGCACTGAGGCATCGGCTTTGTGAAAGATGTGAATTGCCATTCGGAGATAAGGAAAAGACGGGGAGGTCGGAAAGAGAGAACAGCGCAACCTACGACAAATGTCGGCCAAAGTCCGGGCTCGGACAGAGACTCGCTTGGCCGAATTCACAATCATGAATGACAGAGCATTGGCAGCCCAGAGCAAAGAACAAATGCTTGGAGAATGACACTGGAGAACGAGGAGAAGAGATTGAAGTCAAGAAGAGATGGGTGGGCAATCGGAATTCGCGGGGGAAGGACGATGGGGGAGCGAGTGGGCGGGCGGATTAACATCTGGGGGGGGGGAGGGGGGGGAGTTTCGGGAATTGAAACTTCGAAGTTATCGGGAATCAGCAGCGGCAACGCGTCTGGATTGCTATACTGAGTATGCATTTCTACGTTGATCCTCCCTCAATTCGAGGCCCAATGAGCAGCAAATAGTGCTCAACAGGTGCAGCTCTATGATGATGTACTTGCTCACCATTGAACAGGAGCTTTTGGATTTCGAATCATGTTCTTTAGTTACTTAGGACTGTTACTTAGGACTGTACTTCAAACAGCTTTTATGCTGCTTTTAGCTTACTAAGCAACCCGGCATAACTAAATAACTGAACTATGGAATGATTAGAACAATATCGTATCTCTAAATAATTGCATTCTTTCTATTTTATCATATCTTTACCATTTGGGTATACACATGAAGTATAGTGGTTATAGCAGGCACTGCAAACAATCGCAATGATATGAGCTTTGTCCATCTATCCATGATAGACTCGCACCAGATTCTGTGCCTCTAGAGCACACACTCTTGCGCTTTATCTCGTCGCTTACAGCGCTCTAGACATTGCACTGACAGAACCTACAAAGTGGGCTTGGACAAAGAATAAGAGTTACATATTTTGTTGGGCGCTAACGCAATATACAAATCCCTAGAGACAAAATCATTTCCGCAACAAGCATCTGGCTTGGAGTATAAACTGTGAAAAGCAAGATTTTCAGAGACTGGCACCTACCAGGGGCAGTGTCATTCCAAGCCAAGCACCATTCCGAAGCGAAGCTCAACAGTTTCATTTCAGGGATGAAAGTGAGGTTGAAAGTGTGGACCTGCCGTCACAAGTTGCACCTGGTGTAATTATTAGATCAAAGTACCTACCCGCATATCTGAATGATGGTAGATATGCATGGAAGATGTGTGGCCTCGAGGGGGGTTTTTTAGATGGCCTTCGTCCGGGAGAACAAACTGCTGTAGACAGCATCGACGACGGGTTGCGCGGTAATCTGTCGGCCACCGAAGAAGCGTCCGTTAAGACCCTTGATAGCATTCTCCCCGCCCTGCACTCGATCGAATTTCAGGTAAATGTCGCCTTGAGAGTTGGGATCTAGTGAAATGTGAACGACATGACCATATTTTTCTTCGCACTCAGCGCGGACGTCATCCTCCAGCTCTTTCACCCAGACGTCGCCCTCCTCCCTATAGATAGAGTTAGCGGGCTGGTCGACAAGCTAGGCTTTTCGCACTTACTCATTGGGGTCAAACATGTTGCGCAACATAACACATCGACTGGCCATGCTAACATTAACAGGTAGCGGCTTGGCTTCAGTCTTAGGCCGGAGCACTTTCTGCTGGTCATCGGCAGCTGGCTCAGAGGGTTCATCTGTTCTTGCAAGCTTCCTCATCAATGCATCCCTACTGTAGTTGTTGAAGTTCACACCGGCAACATCTGTGTCATCCAGAGCACTTGCACCGGCACCCTTTTCTGAATCCCGGCCTCCAGCACGGTCAAAGTTGTTTGTGCCGCCAGCTTGAACACCACGTCCACCGTGACCCGAAAACAGCGAGCCCTGGAAGTTATGTTGGTTTGCACCTTGGCCCTGCATGCGTTGTGCGTTCGAATCAGGGGTGAACTTATCGTTGCCAAGGCCAACGCGGATGGCTCGACCAGCAAGATCAAAACCATTCATCTTTTCGAGGGCTTCACGAGCCTGATTAGGGTCACGGAACCTGGGCAGAAGGTTAGCAAGCCAATTGTTCGGATCGTTTGGGGCCACTTACTGCACGAAACCATAACCTCGGCTCCTACCAGTCTCGTCCTTCTGCAACTGAACGAACTCGAGTTCACCAAACGGCTCAAAGACATTCTGGAGGTCACTTTCAGTGATACTGAAATGGATATTACCCACGTACAACCTGTGAAAGGGGGCGGCGTGGTTGTTGCTACTGCTGGCTTCGGGATTGCGAGCCTGACGGTTCTTTTCCGCTTCAGTCAACTGTGCGATGATTGGAATTCCTAGAAGTTTCTGTCCTGTAAGCTGAATAGCAGGCGCAACGGAGTCTTCGTTCTTGAACTCGACATAACCGACACTATTAGGCGTGGATGTTAGCATCTTGCCTAATCCGCACAAAACCTGAGGCGTGACTTACCCTTTGGACCGCCCACTAACACGATCCTTTACAATCTGGGCCTCCTTGACAGGACCAACCTTCTCAAAAAAGGCGATGAGTTCTTTCGTCCTCAGTCGAGCGGCAAGCTGCTGCACGAAGATAGTGCGCCTATCACGTTCATCTTCGTTGAGTTCTGGCGTACGCTCACGACTTCTCGCGCTGGGGCTGCGTCTGCGGCCACCCTCTCGCTCGCGGCGTGAAGGCCGTCTGTCCTCGTCCCGGTCGTCATGACGGGAGCGGCCAGAGGGACGGTAGTACCGATCATCATAAGGGGATCTCGACCGGGTACGAGCCCGACCGCCACCGCGGTAGAAATCGCCACCGGAGGAGCGGTAATCATCGCCGTGACGGTCTCGATCACGGCGAGAGCGACGGCGGTCACTGTCCCGGCTCTTGCTCCTCTTTCTGCTTCTATGGCTTCCGTTAGCACTGCCATGTTCGCTTCTCGGGCTCTTCATTTCTTCGTCTCCGTCTCCATCGCGCGACCGACGTCGGTCGCCGCGGCTTCGGTCCCGCCGCTTGCGATCCTTGTTCTCACGCGAGCGGTCGCGGTCGCGACGCTCACTGCTCTCGCCCTTGGTGGAGCGGTCATCATGGTCCTGGGAACGCGGGAGTTGTTCTTGCGGCGTCGGGGCAGCCGTAGACTCGAGAAGAGCTTCAACGTCGAGGCCTGACATTTTGAAGGTAAAGGACTTTCGGCTTTTCTGCGAGTGTGTTTTTCCTGGATGTGATCTGATAGAAAACGGTTTTTTGGGTAGAGTGGAAGACCGTGCGGAAAGGATTAAGGTCACTTTCGGCTTTCGTTAGAAGCGTGATAGGTGTACCGGCCGTGGGTTGAGCGAACCCTTCTATTTGTATCCAGCGATCCTTGCAGATGAAACCTGCTTCTGGTGCGATAGAACTTCAGTCAATTATGAGCCACTGAGAGTTTGTAGCTCGCATGAAAGCAGTACGGTCGAATTTGCGATGTTAGTGGTGAGGATGATAAGGTTGAGAGGCAAAGTCACTCGTCGGTGTTCCGCTGGCTGATGTCGGTCAGTCACGTGAGGCTTGGCATTCGCAGCCCTTTTTGACTTTTTTGTGTTTGGAGTGAACCATGGATGACATGAAAGAGACATGTTATAGTGAAAAGTGTTAAGGAATGTCCTTAATGTGCTTAAAGCCTATTTGGGCTGAATTGACAGAGGAAATGAGATTTGAAGAGAGAGATTATGTATTAGGTTATCATATACAATCGTGAGAATCTATGTAATAATACCACCGCCGGTCGACCTACGAGTCATGGTCATACGCCTTACAAAAGACGTTTTCCATTACTCTGGTCTAAGGCAAACCTGTACACGGGGCAGAGTGACAAAGGATGAAAAAAGTAAACCAACTCCTGAGCACAGCGATATTAGGGACAACACACGACCACGGCATTACTTCGTGTGTCACGGAATCAATAAAAGACGCAATGAGCTCATGTCAGGGCCCATGAAGAGGGCCAGCCACTCTAGAGTATACCATTGGCTTATTCACTGGGCCTTCGCACCCTTGAGGGCGGGAGTCTCCAGCTCCGTGCCAAACACCTGATCCCAGAAGCGGCTGGTGACACCAAAACCATTGTCAAAGTCTGCGAAGTGGTGCTGAAGATGATACTTTTTAAGTTGCTTGTAGTACATGGGAAGACTAGAGAAGTGAATGATCAGCGAAACGGTCCAAGTCACGAAAGGAGGTCGTTCTACTCACTTGCGGTGATGAAGGAAGTAGTGGGTCATGTCGTAGCAGATGTAGCCGAAGATACCGCCACAATACACTGTCAAAGCAGCATACCAATTGTAGAAGAAGACAGCATGAGCAAGCTTCCAGAATGGCGTTGCCAATACAACAAAGAGAGTTGGGGGCATGACCAAGCGATACTTGTCCATCGGCAAGTAGTGATGAATACCGTGGAGCAAGAAGTGGAGAGTCAGTCCAACACGATTGTCAGGAAGATAGCTGCATGAATTAGCGGGGATGCACAGAAATAAGCATGTGTCAACTGGGATAGACATACTGATCAATGTGGAACAGAAATCGATGCATCAAATACTCGATTAGAGTCCAAAGGAAGAGCCCACCGACCCAGTATCCAGCAGCAGCAGGCGCATTCGCAAGCCCCGAAAACCCAACAAAGGTGCCGTAGGCGACAGGTGGGAGCCACATGATGGGGACGACATACCATGCGGTCTTGCTGAGTGGCTCCAGAAAGTTGCCGAACAAGGGCGCAGACTCCCCTCCTTTGTAGTGACGCGGGCGATGAATCTGTTCAAGATAGAATTCTTTGCTGAAGCCACTAAACCAAAGTTGTTTGAGAAGGGGCTTGCTGAGGTCGAGGAACTTGTGCGTCTGGAAGTCTCGGGTGTAGTCTGTATCGACAGACAGGTCTTCTTCACAGGACATGCCGGTCGTGGCATAGACTGCTCCAGAACCATTCGCCACTTGCAGTGTTTGTGATGCATCAACCGTTCGAGCCTTCCCATTGAATTCGGAAGCCACAAAGCCGATATGGCACTCCTCCAGTATTTCATAAGCCGAGTCGGAGTGGACGTGGGAGGACTCGTCGCGCAAGATTTCAGTTACGTCTTTGCCGGCATACTCAAGGACGAGGTCTTCACCCCCGGGGTGACCGTCCACAAACTCAGTGACATCGTAGACTTTGGATCCCAACGTCACATAGCATGACTTGGCGTTGTTATGGAGTTCGATCTCGGCCGGGGTGAACACGGGGAGTACCTTTCCAGGCATGGCGGATGTACAGCTTGATACCCGAAGGGACTGAGGCAAAGATGCTGCAACTGGGCGAGGAAGGGTAACCACAGACACTGCAAATGCGACGAATGCCTTTGGACGAGTAGCGGGGAATCGCGGTGGGAGCCGATAATAAAAGGACGGTGAAGTGAGTGGCGTGAGCGTCAAAATATCGACCAAGGCGACGGGTCCGAGACTCCGGGGGGGAAAAAAATTCCTTAAGGTGAGTCCACTGGCAAGTGCGGCGACAACCACGCAATCAACAAAGCTATACAACACCGGAACCGTATCGCAACGGAGTAGAGAAAGACGGGATTTGGAAAGAAAGATACTGGCTCTCGTTTCTTTCACAGGGAACGGAGTATGAGAAGGGAGATTCCAGCGCTCGCCGGCAGACCCAAATCAAAGTCGGGAACAATAATGCAGGGTGGCACTAATCTCCTTCGGGCGCTGCCCCTGAATTGTGCCCTGCTCTATGCCTAAATTTTGTGCCTGAGGCAACGACATTAAGCCAGCATCAGCCGGCGGGCCGTCTCAGCCGTCGACTGCCGTCTACAATGCTGTACGTACTTAAGTTAGCAGCTGGCCTGAAAGTGTGCATATTGCGGAGAGCAAAAGTCAATGTTCATTGTTCAATGTTTAGTCTTCAAGTGGTCCCGCCTTTCAAATAGTACTATGTAATAATACGAAGCAATGATCTACCTTATTCGGAACAGCATCGGAAGCTAAATTAACATCGAAGGCGAACGGTATGAATTACCTGGAGCTAATGAGTGGTGTTAATTTGGGACCGTTAGACTGATCCTATAGCTTATCGGATACGGTGCGGTGCGGTGCGATCGCAAAAAAGTACACTACATGTACCTACGGAGGTCAGAGCACAAGAAGCGACCGCTCGAGCTCTGTAGCGTAACACAGTCTGTCGAAGATACGGAATATTGTCCCGCGGAAAGTCGTTTATCTGCTTGATGCAATGCGATAGCAAACAGCGAAATTCACTATCCTGATCCTTACGTCCTTGAACGGGGGGGCAGGGGCGCATCCGTGAAACAGTCCCGAAGATGGGCTGATCGACAGGCCTCTCCCCTCGCCCCAGTTCGCCGGACCAGTCTCGGCCAGTGTATCCGTAAGCATCAGCTTCCGACCGACGACGAAAGGACCATACGAACTAGGCGTCAGAATTATTAGGCTAGTCAACCATCCGATATTGAGGCGTTCGAAATTGCCGAGGGACTAGGCTATAGAGCGAGCGCATCCTGGTCGCTTTCATGCGTTGGATCTATAAGGCTATGCATGTTTCGTCCAGGAACCTGCACCATGGCCTTGGAAAATGTCAAAGCGTCTGACTGGAAGAGAGAGCGCTCAGACAGATCGAGGACACTAGGACTCATCATAATGAATCCCGGCAGTTGATGGATCATGGGGCACTGGGGGCTCTGAGCTCTACCAGGTCGAGGAGCAGGAAGGGTATGACATGGAATCCTGGATTCCGGGAAAGATGGATCCTGCCCTGTCATGATGGGTTGTTCGTTGACAACTTGAACGAGGCTCTCTGCTCCCCGGGCTTGTATGGTAGGATCGACCGCCAAGATGAAGCTAGAGAGGATTGCTCGCAGATGACCGGATGTCAAGGTAGGGTAGGCCGAGTAAGGTCTTTTCAGTGGATACCAAGTTTCGATCGACTATCATTGTCCTACGGTACTTCTCAAGTAGTCTTCACGCTCAACCAAGGAAATTGTTGGCGATGGGGCGGGATGTTGGATTCAGTCCATTGGACACCCGGAGAGCAAATGAGAGGAGGTGGGTGGTGTGGGAGATGTGGAGGGTGATGATATAGGATAGAGAGGCTGGAGGGAGATTGCAGGCTCAAGCGATGAGTGGAAAAGGTAAAGTAAGCCCAAGAGGAGTCTAGGACTCCTACTGAGTAGGGGGGGGGGGAGTCCAGATGCCTCAGTAGGTCTCCGTAGTCAGTACAAGCAACCTGAAGTATTGGGGGTCGGAGAGAGAAGAGAAATTGAGATTGGATATGGGAAATCGTAGCGACGCATTATTATTTCCACCCAGTCGGATCGCTCGTTCCGACAAAGCGGGTTGGCCCCCCCCCTCCCCCCAGTGATGATGGGGCAATGCAGGACTCCACTGCACTTTACCGTATGTGCTAGACTACAGGTGTACTGTAGTTATGTAGTGTATTGCTAACTTGAGAATCAGGGTTGAGAAGTCAAAAAGAGGACTTCAGAAAAATCAGTCAATATTAATATCTCAATGTGATTAAGTGACACTTGACATGGTACTAGTATAATTCACCTACCACTCTGTACTTCTTTAGGATCTTCACAGGTGCCCAAACCTAAGAAAGCTTCTCTCCAACTTACTACCATCCGGTACCGGACAAACGGGAAAAAAGGCCTCGAGTCTGAGGTACCTACTGTAGGTACGAGTCGAGTACGTACTCGGTACGGAGGGGTGACTGGTGACAATCCCCTCATTTCCATTCTTTCTCCCCTCCATCCTCCATCCTCCACTTCCCCCCTCTCTCCCCTCCTCCATTCATACGTACTACTCCTTCAATCCAGTCCTCCAGGCTTTATTCGCCCATTCACCCATTCACCCATTGATCCATTGACCCATTCATGTATACATAGCACATAGTATATAGTACTGTACATAGATACTGTACGAAGTACATGCAGTAGATCCATGGCTGCAGCTGAGAGGGATTGTGGCTTCCTGCATGGCCCGTCCAGCCTTTAATTTCACCCTGTCTCTTTCATCTTCTTCTTGTCGTACCTTTGCCTCCCGATGCGCTGTTGTGTTTCTGTCAACCACCACAACATAAGTTAATGGTCTGAGATCTGAGCCACTATCCGATCACACCAGGGACAAAAAGCAAATAAATTAAAGGAAATGGAGAAAATCAAGAGCAACCAAAAAAAGGTCCTTCCCAAGTTCCCAACCCCTGTCGACTGATCATGTCGAGTGACTACTAGTCTGGTCATTGGCAGGCCAAGTGGGGATGGGACTCGATTGTCAATCATTTTGTCTCGACCAAGTCGACCAGTCAAGGGACTCGAGTGGGTTGGAGTCACTTTAGCCCCGAAGCTCTTCTTCCGTAGCTCAACGGGAACAACCAAGCTACGACGACTCCGGAAGTTGGCCCAGCTCCCTGAGCCTGACTGAAAGTTCAAGGCAAGGCAAAAAATAAAAAATAAAAAACAAAGGCACCACCAACTTAACCTTACCTATTCCTCCTCCTCCTCCTCCTCTCCCCGTCCTGTCATTCTCTCCCCTCCCCTCCCCTCCCCTCCTCCTCCTTCTCCTCCCTTTCTCTCTCTTTCTTACCCCGTCTCCGCCCTCCTGTACGACCCAATTGATTTACTTCTGACTGACTGACTATCTGTCTGTTGACGGTTGATCTATCCGTCTCTTTTGTTGTGTGCTGTCTATATATCATATCCACACCGTCACTTCCCCTTCCCGTACAGTACAACACAACTAAAACACCTTTCTTCTCTCCCTCCAAACTCCTCTGCAACAGTGCTCACCAGCAATGATGGACTCGTCGCTGGATTCTCCTTCATATCCGGGCAATCGGATCGTCGCCTATCTGGAGACCTTGGTCAAATCTAAGTCATATCTGCCTTACGGACTTCCCGTCTGCGTCTCGCCTTCGCATACCGTCACCAACACCGACACTCTCCTGCACCTAGCCACTTTAGTTGGCCCGCATATTGCTATTCTACAAGTCTATGCAGACATCATTGATGACTGGTCGGAGGAGACGGTTCGCCAATTGGTTGCCCTAGCGAGGAGACATGGCTTCCTGATCTGGGAGGGCGGTCGGATCCTGAATTCCACAGTGGACATTGTTGGTGGACAGAAAGCAGAGACGAGAGAGGTGCGGAATGAGACCGTTGATATGATTCGCAAGAAGTATACGAAGGGTATCATCAAGCCGGCCTCGTGGGCTGGCCTTTCGACAGCGTGGGCCTCCGGCGTGGCTGTGTATAACCAGGAAGCCGACATTCTGATTCCCACTTTGAAGGCGGCCGCCCGCGAGGCAGTAGCAGATGCAGCTCAGACCATCCGTACCGAAATCACAGCAGACAATAACGCCAACCATCATTCTTTCAGCGACCATGACGCAAATGCGACATCGCAGCACCTCTCCGAGTATGCCGTTGACAACACTAGCGGCCTCGACCTTCCTCCTCGCAAAGCTTCCACCATCTCCTTGACTCAAACCATCACTCAACACACCGAAGACTCCACCGAGCTACCTTTGGAATCTCCGCAATACGAGCGACGTGGTTTTGAATTCCGGTCCTTGAGCCCCGCGACCATCCCTGAGGACTTCCCGCCCCCACCACTCATGGCTCGTGGGTTAGTCTTGTGTCTACCATCCTCCACGGCCAGTTCCTTCACCAATGATTACCGCCAAAGTTGCGTGGCTGCTGCCCGCGCCAATCAAGATTTTGTGGCTGGATTCGTGTGTGGAGAGCCGTGGCACCTGGTCTCTCAAAGAAAGGACTTGTTTGGTGCGGGCGTCTCCGGCTACGGTGAAGAGCAGCAGCAATTGAGTCCATACTCGTCAGATGATGATGAAGCGGTCCCTCATTTTGCTTTGGTGTCGCCTATTTCCCGTCGCCTCAGTGTAGTGAGTGGTCAAGGGCTGGATGAGGTTGACGAAGACGAAGAAGAAGAGCACCAGCAGAATGGCATTCCCATGCCTGAACCACCACTCCCTTTGGACTCTCTCAACCCGCTAGCCTCCAAATTGTTCCAGATCACTGGTAGAGCACTGCAGCTTCGCGAAACAACCGCCCAGGAACGTGGCAACCTGCAGCTGAAGGCAGATACAGACAAGAGCTACCAAATATTGCACATTCCTTTGGTTGTGCTGCCTTGAGGGCGTACACTCCACCATGCCGTTTCCACCATTTTCGTTATCAATTCCGTGTTCCACCTCACATATCTTTCTCCTGGACATTTACCAAATAATCTACCTTTCCTTCACTTCTAGTCCTTATACATACATTACCACCATCACTTTTCTTGTTGGCATCACTATTGCACCTATGGATTATGGAGTTGAGCGCCCTGAAAATCATGCTGTTACCGGTCTTTCCTTTGCATTTATCCTGTGGCACATTACCAGAAGCATAATCACCTATCTATCAGACCTATCTATCCGAAATTAGTCACATGTTACAATAGACGAATAAGATGTACTATCAATCTTGTGGGTGTCGGTACAAAATCGGCATATGTAGGATCAGGATCAAGTTGAGACTTAGCTTCTGCGAGATCAGGGATCATTGGCAGTGTTTGGCGGGCAGGTGATTGACTTGGTCGGCTAACAGGCCGACCAGACGTCAAATTTGGTCGTCATTAGGGTGGTCCGGCGCAATGCCCACAAAAGCTATTCCTTGAAGAGCCTCAACCAAAAATTGAACACTCAAGAGAAGTAGATTTATATGTATCTCAGCGCACAGAGAAAGGGCGAGAGCGGCGCATTGGATCTGGGCAATTCTTGGTCTGTGCTGCTAGTCTGCCTGCTTCAGATTTTCATGTTATTATGTTATTGATTCTCTATCTTTGGTTTCTCAGCTTCTATTCCATGAGTATATACATTGTTGCAGGGTCCCTGCCCTGTGCCCCCAACTTAGTAGTGCATTGAGGCACACCTATCCAAGACGTGATCCCCCAACCATATATCCCAAAAGTGGGCAGGCGCAATTCGCCAACATCCCTTTCCTTTCCCGCAGTCTTTCTATCAAAACATAACCCAAATCCCACAATCCAAACCACGAACCCCACAGAAATAACCGTTGGTTATCGCCAAGTATATCAAGCGGAGAAGTGGGGAACAGAACTCGAGGGCGAAAGAAGAAGTTACGCCTCCCAATTCCTCCTCCGCGCCGTGAACAGCAACCTCGCATTCTCCTCCTGCGAACTGCCCACCCGGACCCCTCGCTCGACCTTTCTCCCACCGCCACGCGCCAGCACGGGAATGGCATTGATCCGCGACAAATGCACGTCTAGCACCAACGCGCGCGGGCGGGACCGGTTCGCCCACGACCCGGGAGTCACAGTCCACCGCGTCGTCGCGGCCCAGCCACTACCCTGCGAGTAGGAGGAGGGCGATGTCGATGACGATGACGGTGGCGCTAGATCTACGCCCAGCAGGCCGCGGGCGTCGCCGACGAATCGCTCGATGCAGTCCAGGGGCGGCAGGAAGCGGCGGCGGATGCCGCAGCCCGTGTGGTTGGTGTCGATCTGGTAGTCCGGGCACTGTTTGAGGGAGGCGAGGAGTGTGGCTATATTTGTTTGGTGTTGTTGTTGTTGTTGTGGGATGGGAGTTGGTGGGTGATCGGCTGTGAGGTTCGCATCATCGTCATCAGCTTCTTCGTTATCGTGGTCTTCATCATCCAGCGGGAGAAGAAAATCCGGGTCGTCAATGAGAGTGGAGCCGAGGAAGATGGTCTTGGTGCGTAAGGCGAAGAAGCGCGTCATTTGGCCTAGATGGAAGACGTCGCAGGCGCTGGAGTTGGCGAAGCCGTAGCGGCATTGAAAGTGGCGGGGGTGAATGGTGGTAGAGGTGGCAGGCAGGGAGAACGGGGGTCTGGGTTGGGGGGTTGTTGTCGTGGTTGTCGTGGCTGCAGATGTGGATGTTGTTGCTGCGGCGGAAGGGTAGGCGTCGTCTGTCGCGTCTTCGAGAGCTCCGTAGGCACGGAGGAAGTGGGCTTGCAGGTCGGTGATCGTGTTGAGGACGCATTGTCGGCGAAAGTAAAGTTCCTCTGGATCTGTTCATCAGTAACGTGATTTGCTTCTTGGACAAGCTATGTGCTTGCTTAGAGGTTGATGTCTGACCTTCTATTCCTCCAGCAAGATATTGCCAGGGAAACGTGGGATTTCCAGGAGCTTCAACGACGCCATTCGACCAATATCTCGACCCCATCACGATGAGGGTATGGGTGTACACCTGAACAATGGCGTACTCATTGAGGAATCGAGCCACGAATATTGTCTGGCGGATCCGATCCTCGGGCAGCTTCAACAGAGAGGCTGCATCGAATTTGGTGAGAGGGACCTTTCCCTTGCCAAAAGCATAACCTGACTGTGTCAGAGCTTTCTGAACGGCCTGTGGTGAGTTGAAAGCATCTGCCAGTTCCACCAATCTCGAGACAAGGGACACAGGCTGCACTCTGAGTCTGGCGTCAAACGCCCGCTGTTGGTCGTCATCATATGAGTCGTAGGACAGAGCCTCGAGAAAGAGCTCAATGACATCCGTTCCGAGACGCGAGGAAAAATGATCGCTTGGAAGTCGAACGACCGGTAAAGCATCCGTGTTCCAGGCCTGCGCGCCATCGGGGGGGTTCAGGCTCCCAACCGCAGATTCGGAGGCCAGTTGCTGGGTTTGGATCTTTTGGTGCATCAGGCTCTTGCCCTCCGCGAACTTGTGCGGATCCAAGAGAGCCCTAAAATATGGGCTGTTGCGCATGATATCACTGCTGGATACTCGCCAACGATGGACCACAGCTCTGGATGGAGAGGCAGCCACTGTTTCGGGGTCCAGGTGCTCAATGGCTATGTCCCCCGTTGAAAGGATGGCCTTGATGCCCGAAGAGCTCCGATTAGAGGGCAGAGGATCATTACGCTCCAGGAGAGGACCCGAAGATCCATCAAGAGACTGTTTGACTCTCCTGGAGTTTTGCAGCGACAGATTATCTAGAGCATATCGTGTGGATGCCTCAACTGAGGCGGAGGAATCATTCAGATCCATGCCAATGAACTGCGTGCTCGGTACCACAGCCTGAAAGGTGTTCTACAATGGAAGTCTCCTTCCAAGCCAATCTTGTTGTAGATCTCACGGGTCATCAAAGCGAGTGTGCTTTATATCTGCGGTAGAAGCAGATAGTTGTAAAGCCGGTTAGAGGTAGTAGTGCTATCAATATTTACCGACAACACAGGATGTTATGTAAGAATATTAGTGACTGTACGGCAAGAGACAGACTCCATCAGAAGCTATAGCTCATAGCTCATGTCAATGGACAGCTGCAAAACCAATAGTGTTTGTTATCAAGAGGCAAAATGTGATGAATGCGAGAGGACATGAACAAGCTCCGCGATTATGAGTGGGATTGGTTAACTTATGTATCCGAATTACTAAGCAGGCACCATGACTTATTAACAATGGGAGCATTGATACTCGCAAGAAGAAAAAGTAACATCTTATACTTACCACGTCTGCTACTGTCATGGGCCTGAAAACTTTACTGCCACAGTGCACAGATCGAGGCTTGAATATAGGCTCGGGGATCGAAATATTGATGCCCAGCTACGATAAGACCTATCTACCTCTTACATGTATAGCCTTGCAGACTCTCTTTGATGATCATGCTTATTCTCGGCAAGTAGAAGAGCTTTCAACCCCAACTCGGAGATGCAGTCAGTCACCATGGACCTCGCCCTGCATGGTGACAGCCTTTGATAGAATTACCTCACCTAGTCTGAAAAGTCGCTAAAGATTGATTTGTATCATTTCCAATTAGAAATGATCGGCTTGCGCACAGACACACACAGTTTCCACCTTTATGATGATGATGAATGAATAAGGATAAGGATTGTGGTGATGGGACAGTCTCCAAGCATGCCTATCAGAAGTCCCCCACTCTGAGTCTGTGCCTTGCACTGATGTTGAATACTCGAGTGGATTGTCAAAAGTGGTAGAGATTACTCGGTTCCACATCCATTCCATACTCTGTAGGGAAGAAGGAGCCCGTGAGCTGACCAGTACTTGTGTCGTAAGGAAAGAACTCGTCGTAATTGCTCGGAATTTCCAATGTGCTCTCACTTTGAATTGGAAGGTCGTCTGCCGCTCCCAGGAGGTGTGGGGACGGGTAATGAATATCGCCGGCCAATAAGGCCGGTGATTGCTGATAGTCCAATTTCGTCCCAAGAGGTGGACTGTCTGAGTCCGCCGAGCTTCCTGTTGTTGTTCTAATCGGATGTGAGATGGGGGGTGTATCTGCAGGCGACTCGAGGCTGGTCAACTGGACGGAAGGAGACTCAGAGACTTTGATGTCCTCCCGTTGTTTGAGTTGGCGCAAAAGCCGATCACAGAGTCTGCGGGCTCTTTCCGGAGTCTTTTGTGTCCTTGACATCAAAGACAGCCACTCATACGCTTTATTAAGAGCTTTCGAAACCATCGGCGCTTTATCCGGTACATGCTGAGCTTGAAAGGCGAGCTCAAGAGCGAGTACCGCCGTTGCTTGCATCAAGTAATGCAATAAGCACCACCAAGGTGACGCTGTATATAGCGTTGCAGCTTTGAGCTCTTCTGGGAACAGTCTTAACATGTGACAGGCTGATTCAACGCACTCCGCAGCAATTTCCTGACTGAACTCTTGCATCTTGTCCCCCTCGCTAAAGGACTCTACACGACGAAGGCATGGTCGTGTGATGCCCATTCTGGTGCTGTAAAACAATAGAGCCAGACTAAGCCTCTGATTTGACGTTTCCAGCGATACATGCGATGACTGGGTGCGGGTGAAATCGTACTCGTTGGGGAGATTGTTTAGCCATGTGTCAAGTTTATGTGTGAGGCTGTGTATGGCGAACTCAATGCTTTGCCAAGGAGATCGAACTGTGCTCGGGGTGTAGATCTTGGTTAGGGATTCTTTTGCAATCATGGTTAGTTGCACCAAATGAACAAAGTACAAGGACCCGCAGGGTGAGAATCTGTCCTCTTCTGAATCCAGCTTTTCGGCCACCGTGCTCATTGCATTCAAATCCGACTGGTCCGTTGACAGCATTTCCGTCGGACAGGGGCTACCGTCAATCGAGCGCCTAAGCTGCCGCATCACATCTTCCCTCCCAAAGTCTTGCTCATCGAATGGAAGGGGCAGAGGTGTCGTACACAGGCTGTCGGGGATAAAAGAGGGTCTCCCAGTCATCACACTGAGCCGAAGATCAAGCGTATATAGAGCCCACCATACACGGCATCTGATTTCTCTTGAAGTATTGGATGTGCTGTCTCCAAGATGGCGTAGATGCAATCCAAGGCCTAGAGCCCCGCGGATCGCGCTTCCACAAAATGCCCAAGCGCTGACATACATTGTTAGCTGTGTGTGAGCAGTAGAACAGAGCATGGATGGATTGAGCACACGGACCGGTTCACATGGCCTAGCGTCAGCATATACAAAGCAGTTAGTCCTTCAACCTGCAGCTGCTGTAGATCAGGGAAAGTCAGTAGCTGATGATCTAGACCCAAAGCTTTGGCCTTGAGAAAGTACACAAGATGTGCGTCCTTATCCATTTGCCATTCAGCCTCGGATAAATACGCGTACTTAGTAGCAAGGGCGAAGATCAGGTTGAGTATTGCTAGCCAGCGATTCCCAGGGCGTAGGGACCCAGGGCGTAAGGATGAGTTTGTGAAGAAAGCCTGGAATTGTGCCCCAAAAGGGGCAGTACCGATGATCGGAAACGAGGGGTGAACCCAATCAAGGTATGTCTTGTAAAGCTTCGTTGCAACATCCTTGGCGGGGCAGGAATATGGATCCACGTTGTCATATATAGGGATCTCCATGGCGTCTAAATGGTAGTTCGGAAATGAGATGAAGCGATTGTGGTGGGCTGCTGCTATTGCTGGGGATGGCTCCTTCGCACTGAAGTATCCATGATCATAGCCAAGTTCCAGTTCTCTGGCCAGAGTCTGTAGCCAAGAGATCTCTGAGCTCTGGCCGACAAAACCAGTCGCTTGCGAAGCCTCGTCCCGATTTAAATCCTCCTCTATGCGATCTAGGTTGTTCTCAAACCCTGAAAACAAAGGTGTAATGGCTTCGGATACCGACGACTGCCTCCGGGCCTCGGTGTTCGGAGTCGCAGAATCGTCATGGGAGGAGGCGCAATCGGACGGGTCTTCCTGGATGAGACTCAGCAAAGGCCCTAAGCAGAAATTAAACAGAAGAGGTCATTGAGCGTACCACTGCCAGAGCGAGTCCGATCAGCTGGTCTTCAGTCATGCGATAACGAATGCTTAATCTTTGCAAAATGTCTTTGTAGGCATTGATCTTAGTTTCCAAGCCGGCCATTTGTCTTCATTCGTGACAATCAGCGTCAGTTCTCAGGCTCCGAGTGTGCTCAGTGCTCAGGTTTGACGCACCTTTTAGACTTCTCTCTTTTTCCGTCAGTGTAGCAACAGATCATCCCGGCATCCCGACAGTTGCGGCAGCCTGACCTGTCTCCCGTGCATTTTGTCTTTCTCTGCCTACAAGATTCGCACGCTCGACTTACGTGGCGACGGTGAGACCGAGCGGAATGGACTGCTTCTTTTCCTTCAGCCAACCTCGGGATGGCCATCTTTCTGATACCGGAAAGGTCCCTACTGGGCCTTAGCAAAGGGGGGATCGGGTTATCCTGGAGAGAAAGCGAAAGAGGAAAAGTTTTAGCATGTTCGAAATGAGTGCATTGAGTTGGGTGTCATATTAGCTTACTCCATGGCTGTGCCCTTTTGCTTCAGGCGCAGCGACTTGAAACAACGCTGACGCTGATTGAGTTGTCCAGTTGGATATCTGCATCATGGGCATACGTGGGGTTGTGAGAAGAGAAGAACCTGCATGTTGATGATCAGGTTTGTCGATTGTGGTATCGATAGGGATGGGTTCTATATTATCAATGAATCTTATAGTTTGGTACGCCTTGAAAAGAAGATTGTGGCTCATGTTGATGTCATTTGGTCGACCCTGACCCCTTGAGTCGGAGGAGACTTACAAATGGAAGGCACTGCCGTGGTTGGAGAACGTTTTGGATTTGGATTCAGCGTCAATGGAGAGGAGGGGGCGGAGGGTGGAGAAGTCCTGGATGAGTGTTCCTGACCGATTTCCACTGAGTTTATTCTGCGGAAATAGAGAGTGAAAGAGTGAAAATGGGATAAATACCTCTCTCATGACTCGGTGGATACGTAACCCAATTCTGTATGTAGTTTGTCTGAGATGAGTCTCGACCCTGGACTGGCCGCCTCACCGTGCAGTATCTTCTATCTGGTATTACCTAATTCGACTCCTTATGATTCAAAGCTCGTCAAGCGCCCATCTGTGCAGGTGGTCTGGCTGTAGCGGACCCAGAACCAACATGTGAAATGAGCCAGAAAAGAAAGGTACACACACACCTCTTGAATCCTGAGTTGGCTCACCGCCGGTAAACTCTCCAGCATCGGTTCTGATGAGATAGCTTATGCGGGGTTCAATTGTAAAATGTAACCCTGCCATCTCCTTCCACTGTTGGTAGACTCTTAGACTCTTGCATGCATACCTCTGACAAATGAAGATGAGCTGGGCGAGACCGTGTCTCCATCTTCCTTGAGAGCAGAGGTGCCAGAATACAAACATCGCTGTTTTCTCGGCCATGCGAAGAAGCGCGCACCCGAAGTATAGGAAGCGAACCATGGGTTGGAGCGGTCTAGTAGCCTAATGGAAACTCTCTCAACCATTTCTGAGCTCATATGCTTATGGAGATGGTCAAGTAATTGTATCTGTCTATTAGCATGTGATCTCCGACGTTAGCCTGCTATAGCTTTGTGAATCATTCCACCTACTTACACACAGGCAGCAGACTGCACTGTGATCTCTGGGGAAACGTATTGTTCTCCACCGAAGATTTTGAGTCACAAATCCATTGAAATGGCGGATGAGAAAAAGTCTCCCAGGAGCCAGATTTTAGGTTGCAGTGAACATTCTCTCTTCATGCGTGATCTATATCTCGCCACAACTGACTGATGAGCCATGAGCCGCTGGACGCTTAATCACTTGTTGCCTGACACTATTGAAGCTAGGCATTTAACCTTCAAGTTTCCCATGAGCGCACCTAGGTACAGTGGCCTCAGTCTCCATGGAAGTTGCCCACAACCTTATGCAGTGACTGTGTTTGTCATGGCACGCTGGGTGGATCCCTGAATCAAAGATGGCCATTCAGAAAGCTGTTTCGACCTTACCGAAAGCATCCTGACCTCATGCTTGGCTAATTTACTTGATCTTCCATGGCTCAAGTCTGTGAAATGACGGAGTTAACAGTCACGGGAGTGCTTCAGAAGCTCAGGTGTTTACCGGGTTTCAACGAGAAAACCTGCATAGTACCTGAAACGGAGTCAGGCAAAGCCGATCGAAGAAAGGTCATTTAAACTTCCGCTGCTTGTGGATCACATCTGACTTGCCTGGTTTGGCTGGAACTTATAGCCAGCTCATCAGGTTCGGTGGGCAGGTAATTGGTGACTTCAGCACACACCCACAGAGAAGCGGAGATGTTACTACAATGCGTCTCCGATGATCTTCATGAACCCAGAGTTTGTCGAGCAATAACGTTCGCTGCATCTATCCATGGTCGAGACGCACAGCAATCGCCGAGCCTAGTCCTCAGCCAGCCCTAGACCTGGTAGAGTGGCTTCTATCCAACCTTGACACGTAGGCGGGTTTGAGCATCCGGAACAGTCTGGTAAGGCGCGAGTGATATGAGTGGTATGATTCAAAAGTCAGGCTTGAATTGCAGAATTGAGAAGAAAGAAACCCTGGTTAGAAGGAAAGCAAGCAGAAATATTGCGAAGTCTCTTAAGAATAGAAAATAAGGGCAAGTCCGAACGTCATTAATACTCTATACACCCGACTGAAGTAGAAAAATCACTCAATAACAAATCCTTCCGCAACACACTTGATATCCTTGGTGAACGCGGTGCTCTCTCCTTCCATCTCCAAGAGAGAGACCTCGTTGACATCGACTTCCACAAAAGGGCTGGTCTTGGAGAAGCGTACGCTCATTGGGAAGAATTCATTCTCATCGCCATCACCACTCGACTCGAACTCAAAGCTTCCGGATGCGTTGCTCTCGTCCACCGTGCCAATGTTCCAGTCAAGACTGTCGCCAGATACTTCATACACCGCGTCGAAGCTAGACACCGCGGGCTCGGCCGTCTGATAGGGGATGGTAACGACAACGTCCCGGAGGGTGTCAGAGCCAGTGAGTTCGTACTCAACCGTGACTGTAGTCGAATCAGAGCCCTTGTTGACCCACACGGTAAAAGTGATAGGAAGTATTTCAGCGTTGTCAGAGCCAGAGCTAGCGACACGCCAGCGCAAAACACCAATCGAGTTGTTGGCTGGGAATCGCTTAGTGATATCTTTCAGCTGGATAGCGGAGTCATTTGTGAAAACAGCCTTGTCAACATTTGGATGGGTGCGGAACTGCGCGCCATGCGTGGGGATTGCAAGGAGGTCGAGTCTGACTTTGGTGAAAGAGGGATCGGTAATGCGAAGCTGTAAATCACCCTTGACTTCAAACGATCTGAGGGCTCCTTCCCGGGTAAGTGTAGCGGAGATAGTTTCGGCAATTGTCACATGAACAGGTTCACGATCGCCAGACAGCGACGCCCGAGCAGAAGACACTGTGTCGGCAACGGGGGTCGATGCCTGCGGGGTCACCAGTGGGGTGGCCTCCTCTGCCTCGGGGCCCAAGTCACCACGGACTTTCTCGTAGATATCAGTAGTTTTCGACTTCTTGCCGAGCTGCATACCCTTGCCACGGACAGGTAATGGTCTACCGATGGGAGCCGGAAGTGTCAGCAGCGATATGAATTGGGGCGTGAAGTACAAGGGGTCGGTTAGGGGAGGAAGGGAAGTATATGACATACTTAGCGAAGGTCTTCTTCTTCTCTGCCTCGTAGGTGTCATATGTTTCGGGCACAGCAGGGCGGGATGGAGGCGTATACACAGGGTAAGATGGAGTCCGAGGCGCCATAGAACGACCGCTCCGGGCGGCCTCCTTTCGTTGCATCTCCAGCTGCTTGGCCTTCCTCTTGCGCTCCTCGCTGGCCTCCAATTCTTTGTTCTGACAGGGAAAGTTAGCAAGCGTCGTCTGGGAAGCCATTTCGCTGAGTCGTACCCGCTCGATGATTTCCTGAATTCTCTCCTCGTGACTCTCCATCTCCAGAAATGTCTTGATCTGAGAAAGTGATAGATTCTCTCTGTATCCTAGCGTCACCAGCTCGTCGTACGCACTAAGCAGTTCGAACGCATTGCGCACAATCTCTCTTTCATCCAAGCTCTTACAGATACTGGTGGTGACTTGGGCGAAAAGGTGAAGGCTGTCGATATCTTGCAGAATATTGGATTGGCGGTTTGTGATCAGAACAATGTATAGCTCATCCAGGGGCTGGTAGACGAAGCGGACATTATCTTGCTCCACGGTCGTATGTTGTGTTCCAGAGTCAGCTAGCTTAGGGAAGGATGCGAGGAGAGCTTCAATTCTGGAACGAGCGATTTCTCTGAATTGACGCGAAAGGACTGCCTTGCCCCCGCGGGTGCATATCGACGCTGCAAGGACGACCTAGTGTTGTGCCAGGTTAGCAGTGGAAGCTGGGTCAAATTGACTCATACTAATGAAAAGTTACCATTTTGTAGATTGATAATTCACTGTTCGGCACAAATTGACTGCGAGACCTTCAACAAACTGCTCTGGGGAGTGCAGATGACGAGTGTTCTTGTTAGGCGTGTCTAGACGTCGAAGCCACGGAGGTCGGAGTCGCTTGCTGTTCTCTTTGTCCCCGTTGGCCCGTGCGCCCGCGCTACCCCCTCGCTTACCGCAGCACAAGAGGCTTCGTCCGCTTGCAACCCCGTAGTAGGACATCCTCAACTCACCCCAGATTCATTGCTCTGTTGCTCACTGTCGACAGAGCTGAGCACTCTCTTAGTGACGGACTCCCCGGTCTGACTCTGAAGGTTCGGCGGATACCTCGTCTAGTAGCCAAAGCCAGTCATACGGTTTGCGCTTGGGCTGCTCGTCAGGCGTACCTTCATCGCCACGCCAAATTTTGCACGCGTCTCCCAACCTTCGGCTGATTTCATGCCATGACAGCTGCCTCTTCGCTGGCTTATTTCACAATGGAGGCTACTATGGCTGAGGACAAAATGGAAATGGCATCTCCATATCAGGGACACGTCGACGATTTCGACATCGATATCGACATCATGGAAGACCAGGCTTCGACAACAGATAAGGACATGATGATAGCGGACGACTTTCCGGAGCCATCAAACGCAGTTGATCATGACCTGGAGGGAGCTCGCGATGCAGATATGACCGATGATATAGCGGAGCGGACGATGGATGATGCGGAAGACGCTTTCGCCGACGAAGGATACAACATCGAAATGCAGTACGGGTCCGATCGGGAATATGAAGCAGAGATGCTAGAAGACGACTACGACGAAGATATCGATGCTCCGGTCACTGACGTTGAAGTCCAACCTTCATTTGAACAACTTGACGAGCCAACGGAACAGGACCAAGCTCTAATCGATGGTATCACCGCTGTAGACGGACAAAGGGAATCCCGCAAAGAACTTCACGAGGATCCTCAAGAGCAGCCTGAAGAGCAATCTCAAGGAGAGCCTCAAGGAGAGCCTCAAGGAGAGCCTCAAGGAGAGCCTCGAGGAGAGCCTCAAGGAGAGCCTCAAGGGGAGCCTCAAGGAGAACCTCAGAAAGAGCCTCAAGGAGAGCCTCAAGAGGTGTCCGAAGCGGAGCATCACGCCGAACAGGAAGCTGAGGTTTCCCCAAGCCACCATGCTGAGACTCGCTCCGAAACGGAGCATCTTCAAGAGCCTGCGGCAGATCATCTTGAAGAAGGAGAGGTCGAGGAAGGCTATGTTGACGCTAATGAAGCAGAGCATGGAACTGCAGATCCCACACAACCCGATGAGCAGGGCGACAATGCTACACAATCGGCCCAGGTTCAAGCACACAACAATCATCTCGACAAGACTGACTTCTCTAAAAGTAAGGCTGAAGGAGAAACACGGGAAGAAGAGGAGGTCGAAGATGTAGAACGGCAGCATGAAGAAGAAGTTGAACGCCAAGACGGTGGAACGATCGAGGCCCAGGGCATGGAAAAGACAGACAACGATGCCACGGCTGGTCAGGATACTCATCAACCGGTCGAGCAAACAGTTGAGGTGACAGAACATGAAGCTCTGTACCCAGTTAAGGTATATTACCAGGAAACCGAGATATCTCTGTTTCCCCCTAGGGAGGGTGATTCCTCGGAGACATTTTTCCTGGAAGATGAAAGTCTTGCATATGGTTCTCTCGCAAAGCTCCTTGAAGCATGTCGAAATGTCCTCAGAGAGCATGTCAGCGATAGGGAGGTGCTCATTATGGATGTTGATGCCTTGAACCTTCAGCTTGTAGAGGTTTGTTTGGCCTGCCCTTCTTACTGCACAGATGCTAACCTAAACACCAATCAGGATTCTATGCATATGGACAAGATCACGCTATTTCAAGTAGTTGACCTCTATTTGCGCCTATGCCACAATGAGGGCATTGATGAGCCGGAGCCGCTTTATCTTTCACTTAGCACACGACTGACACTTGCTGCGGAGCTTTCTGATCTTCTCGCAGTAGCCAACGAAGGAAAGGGCCTTACTGATATTCATGCCTGGGATAGTTACGCAGAGGCTGAAGCTGTCTCCGCGGAACTATATGAGGGTCTTGACGAGGTACCTTACTCTGATTTGCCGCAAGAAGAAGACTACCCTAAACCTGAGGATGACAAACAAGTTGGTACAGAGCTTCTTCAAGAGGTCTCTGATCACCAACAAGATCATGAAGAGCATCATGGTGAAGAGGGTATTGAAGATAATTCTCAAGCGGAAGTTGAGATTCCAGCTAATGGTCGCGAAGACGATGCATCTAGAGAAGGCCTCGCTGATCAGGCCGGCGAAGCTGAGTTTGAGGTTGAGACTGAAGGCCACGCAGCTATCTCTCGACACCCGGATGAAGCATCATACCATTCTGAGCAAAGCGAATCAAGTGCCACGGTTACCCAGCTACCACCGACTGAGAGTGTAGATGAGCAGCAGGCAGGTGGCGGGTCCGCCAGTGTTACAGACCATCAGCCCGATGAGACTCAATATGAGTATAACGACCTCGATGGTACGGAATTTGATGAAACGTTTTCGAAGGGAAACACTCAACTTGAAGGTATCGACTCGTTGGAAGAAGTTGACCAATTCGAGCCGGGCGAAATTGTCGAAGCAACTCCTGTCGGTTCTTACGAAGCTATTTCCGGCTTCGAGGCACAAGAGACTCATCAGGAACAGGTTTCCAGTGTACGAGAAGACTCTCACACCTATGAGAAGAAGTCCACTGCAGCCTATCAAGATCATGTCGATGTTGATGGTGCGGCATTGCATGATGGTGATGATGACGATGCTGCTGCTCCGCCCCAGGATACAGAAGCTGAGTTGGACGAGAGTTTCCAAGACGAAACGGACAACAAGGCTCATCCAACTATGAAATCAGCAGACGATTCGACGGGTGTTGTGGATAACTTGCCAAGCGAAGTTCTCAAAAACGACGACGAAGAAGTCGCCCATGCAGATGAATTCGAAGATCTCGGAACTTTCGATAACGAAGCCGAGCAAAGTCCGCTTCTGACCGCCAGTCATGACAATGAGGATGACTTGAATTTCGATGATGATTATCTTGATCTGGATCTTCAAGAAGATTCAGGCGCGATTGCGAATGAAGCTCCTTTGAAAGCGCACATTTATCCCTCCACCAAACGACACCGTGAACCGGAAGATGAAGTTGAGTTGATTGAGACGCCCTCGCCTGACGCCAAACGATCCCGATCCTCATAAAGTCCACTTCTTGCCCACTTACCCACTCGCCATTTTCTCTGAATATCTCTTATCGACCCTCTTCACCGCGCGCTTCGTCGCCGATTCTGGGCATTTCTCATCTTTTCACTCTAACCACTTCAGCGAGCTGTGCTGATCTTAGGCTCCATATCTGTTGAACGGATAGGAGGTAGCCAGTGAGCTTCACCAAATACTAGCCCTTTATGCCGCTCGAAGACCTGCGAGTACAGACCAATCGGCTTCTCGCGATATCACTCGATCAGGTACGTATCTCTCAAGATGTCACCTCGCCTTTTCTCTCTCCCTCTTTGCAAGGAGTATATTTCCAAGTATGCTACCGCTCGGGTTATCCCTGGCCCGGGCTGTAAAACCAGGTTTGTATTTGTTTTCACCCTTGTGCTTCTTCGTCGCTCTTGGTGTCTGCGATACCACCTGGGTCGGCAATTTGTCTGGCGTCTGGGGTTACATCTTTCTCCTTCCATTGTGTGTTGCAACCGGTGTTGTGCTGTAATACCCCTTCTAGATAAGCTTCAACGCTCGCGTGATGGCCTAATGACCTTGCGCATCTCCCCGGGTGGATCTTAAAAAGCTGGTACTATTTGAACTGGAGGCTCATCTACGCTTCTTGTGTTCTTATCCTTAGCGATGAACTGAGGCCAAACATTTTCAGTTGTCTTGACTACACTTAATTCCTTTAGCTGTTGAACTCAATACACCTTGAACCTCTGTTACTAGTAGGAGCCAGTTGACTTGGCTTGTAGGAGGTTGACCCCTCTTCCTTCAACCTTGGGAATAATAATCTCAATCATTCCTTCCTCTCCGCTCCCTGAATGAATTGTCCGACAATTGTAGCTCGTGCAGTGAAGGGAAAGTGTAATTGAATCTGGTCGACTTCTAGTTACGATGCCATTGTTTTGTGTCTAATCTAAGGGACGACTGCGGTACGGGTGTGCAACAGGGAATATCTGTACCATAGTATCACACCACTTTGGGGGCAGGAAAGTGAATAAGGTATCAGTGGTAGGTACGGAGTAGAACCAGAAATTATGGCGTTCCAAGCGAGAATTTCGCCTATTCTTAGGCACCGTTTGTTTCAAGACGCTGATCACGTACTGAAACCAGCCTCAACAAGGGGGGGCCAGACTGTGGCTGGCAGTCCTTGATTGGATCAGGGTGAAATGGTGGAATGGCCACCATTGCCCTTCCGCACCCTGGGTTCGTTTCCTTCACATTCCAGCCTGGACTTGTGAGCGGGTACATACAGTACGTAGTGAACATTGGCCCCGGCCTGCTGCCTATCTACTCCGTAGTAGAATTTGATTTCTGCCAGCATCTTGGTCGATGAGCATGGTATGTATGTGTATTTATACTCCTGTATTAGCATATTATATACAGTACTATATCTGTACAGTACAAGACATACTCAACATAGCCGATTACTACAATAATTTGTTCATTTTCTAGCATTACATTCAATGTCTTTTAGCTCTTCGCAGTAAGGTTTATTTCATTTGGGGGGACGGCTTATGTAAGGTCTATCTTTGGTGGGAAGGGCGTCACCACCACCAGTAGAAGTACTCCGTAGTACCCCGTCCCTACTGTAACAATACTACTAGGTACCACCTACTCGCTCACAATAACTACCTACTCGTACTACCTAATTAAATCGCTCTTTTGGCAACCGAGGACACGGCTGCATCTCCGATCTTCAAACCATCAACATCAATTCTCTCCAACACCTTTTTTGTGAGCCTCCTTTCTACCATCCCACTACAACTCCCAGGTACCAGTTGCCAAATATCACCAATACTACCATTCTAGTGCCTACAGTACTTCGTGCCTACGGAGTAGATTTCTGTGGAAAATTAGATTAGGAGACTCGTTGTCGCCGGTCACTTCACTCGCTTGCACCTACGTACTCACTAGTAACGCGCGTCCAGATCCGGGCCGGATCCGTTTGAAGGGGAAAAACCCCACCGCACGAGCGCAGGCAGCCAGCCTCTAGGATCACCAAACAACCAGCTCTCTTCTCCGACCGATCGCAGGAGTTCTCGACCCCAAAAAGAGCCATCGGTCGCATCCCCAAGGCTGCTGCATCTTACTGTGGTTTAGCTTACTCACTCCTTTCTGTCACTGGTTGTGGTTTCTTTCTCCTTCATTTTGACTTCCATTCTTTGCGCTCTTGTTGTGCTTCTTAACTCTTGTCGGTCATTGTTGGCGCACTCCGAATGCTTGGCTGAGGTAGCCCGTCCACCGAGCCCGACCCAGCATCCACTTCAGCCTCCCCCATTGTGCATTCACTCCTCCTCCATTCATTTTCGACTCGGCATCATACATCCGCAGACAACCTCAAAATAATAGGAACAAGCATTGGCTTTCACATCTCGAGGGAGCAACCAGCTCCTCGGCTATTGTCAATATGATCTCCGATAAGTATGCTCTCCTCACGTTACTGAAGGCCTGGTGGCCACTGTCTGAGACAGTCTTCTGATCGGGCGGTGATATGCAGATATGTTGGCCTTATCCTGGCCATTCTGTCAACAATGGCAATCGGTACGAGCGGTCACCCATGCGATTCATGCGGCTGAGACTAACAAACGCCCAGGTACGAGTTTTGTCATCACGAAAAAGGTTCGTCCTACCATCATGAAGTTGTCCACCAGCAATCACACTTCCGTCCGCGCGTCGTCTACGGCTTTGTCCAGGACAACCGGCTAATTGATCGCCATAGGGTCTAATGCAAGCTTCGGAAAGACACGGGTTTGAAGGAGAAGGCTTCTCGTATTTGAAAAGTCCCATCTGGTGGGGTGGGGTCATTACTTGTGAGCGATACTGTCATAATGATGCTAGTCTTGCGAAGAGAAGAGCTGACTGAAGTCGACAGTGGCCATGGGAGAAATTGCCAACTTTGCGGCTTATGCTTTCGCGCCTGCCATCCTGGTTACGCCTTTGGGTGCGCTGAGTGTCCTTATTGGGTACGGCTTGATGTCTTGAATCGCGGATTTTATATCCCTGAGACTAACATTATGCAGTGCCGTCCTTGGTTCCTACTTCCTGAAGGAAAAACTGGGCGTTCTGGGCAAATTGGGGTGTGCCATGTGCCTACTTGGCTCAGTGGTAATTGTTCTCCATGCGCCCCCAGACAAACCGGTGGAAAGAATCGATGAGATTCTGAGCTATGCGCTGCAACCAGGTATGTGTCAATAAAAGCTCAATCTACCTAGTTCTGGCTGACGCAGTTCTCGCTCACAGGATTTCTCGTTTACTGCCTTGCTGTCGCGATTTTCTCCACCGTCATGATCTATCGAGTTGCGCCCGTCTACGGCAAGAAGAATCCATTGATTTACATCTCGATCTGTTCCACCGTCGGCTCGGTTTCAGTCATGTCTGTCAAGGCATTTGGCATCGCGGTGAAGCTGACCTTAGGGGGGAACAACCAATTTACTCAAGCATCGACATATGTGTTCATGATTGTCACTGGCTTTTGTATCTTGACCCAGATGAATTACTTCAACAAAGCACTTAATCAGTTCTCCACGTCGATGTAAGTGACGCTTACGACGGTTATAGCTCTTACGGCATGCGCTAACAACGAGTACTTTTAGTGTCAATCCGCTATACTATGTCACGTTTACAACTGCCACGCTTTGCGCTTCATTTATTCTCTTCAAAGGTTTCAACACCAGCGATGCGGTGAACACAATTTCTTTGCTCTGCGGTTTTCTGACTATATTTGCCGGCGTTTACCTCCTGAATCTATCTCGACATGACCCAGATGGGCGACAGATGCTGAATTACAAGCTTGACGATGAAGGCGTTCCCACAGATGGAATTGCTGGCTTTCAAACGCGACGGTCTATGCAATCTCGGCGCAGTAACGAGCCACATCGCCGGAGCTCTTCGAGCTTCGCATATATGAACGGGAATGGAGACCGCGAAGGGCTGATCCGCGCGTATGACGTCGAGAACCAGGCCTTTGGGTTATCAGAAATGAATGAAGGGAGCGACGGAGAGCCAGGTCCTACCTATGCACGAAGCGAGGAGCTCAGTCGTACCTCACAGCGACCCAATAAGCATGACACGCTATAGTATGATACGATGCTTACACTTGATCATTTCCCCTTCCTCTTTTTCTCTTTGGCTCTCATCCTTTCAAGATTCTCCTCCTTGCTTTCTGCCTCCTATTTATGACCAAGACTATTTCATTTACGCTTTTATCTTCTTCTCACGTTATTCCCCTCGGTTTGCTATTACCTCCCTCCCGCCCCGGGCGCACCTTCTCCACCTTCCCTTGCTCCTGAATGGTCGCGGCTGTTTTTGGATGCTTTGTACTTTTACCTGATTCCCGACGCAAAGACGACGCGAAGAAGATGCGAAGATGAGGAGCAATAGATGCTCCGAATGACTTGTATGTGGAATGGGACTGTTATCTGTTTTTGTTGTTTTCATCATCTGCCATGGTATGAACCGCAGGCGCGAATACCTGCAATTACACAGACCCGGAATTGTATATAGAGCCTAAGATCACGGGTGATTTTCTTCAATAGACCATGTGAATTGCGGAGAATTATTATTTGCAGCGAAACATTCCTTTATCAACTCTTATACTTCTTGATCTCGATCGTCTTTTTTTTTGGTATTTGTTGTTGACGCCTAGTCGGGAGAAGTATGAGTATGGCTACCAGCCGGCTAGCGGGAAAGTGTGACGTAGGGGTTGCTTTTTTTTTCCTTCCAGCGGGAGTGGCTGGTGGTGGGGAAAAGACCATCGATGATGTCGCGCGGTGGGATTAAGCTCCATATTGGGTACAGACAGACATCCCACCATCACGCTCCAGCACCTCCAACCAGGAAAGCTTTTACTGGCCATGTGGTGGGTGCGCTGTCTATAGATTGTGAAGCTGCATTTCTACTTCGGACGCTCTTTGTTGTTTCATCGTGATTCTTCATTCCCCAAGTTTCTCCTTGCGAGATTTGCAGAAGAGAGAGAGAGGGAAAAAAAGTGGGCAATATGCCTGGATTGCTTCGAAAGCTGATCGTGGTCGCGGCCGCTGATGGACTTGTCCTTCACTCCACAGGCAATGGCTTGCGGCATACTGGAAATAACGAGCCGTCTGCTATTCGCATCGATTATAAGACTAACCAAATCACATTACTTCCTGGCTCCGCCTCGGGACTTGACGATACGAGGGACTCCGGTCTAGAGATTCACGGTCTCGTCGGTATGTGTTGAATATCGCGATTTAGCCAAGACTCTAGAATGGACTGTGGACCATTCTGTTTCATCTTATCATGTGTATTTTGCGCGCGCATGCTCCTCTTCTCTCCTCGTGTTCTAGTTGATATTCTGGCCCATGCAAAGGGATCATTCACTGATGGCTGCGTTCTGCGACCCAAGGGCTTCTATCCGTTGCATCGTATTCATTCCTCATCTCTATCACTCAACGCCAGCAAGTGGCTCAGATCCAGGGCAAACCGATCTATACCATTACCAATGTCGCCGTAATCCCAACATCATCTCAGGCGGACGCGAGTCGTGCAATCTCGCAGGCCAAGGAGAGTCTGCTGCAGGGCGAGGACAGTCACACCGAGACTGGCTCCGAGGATTCAACCACGATATCTGATACAGAGACTGAGGGAGGCGATACTGAAGTCGGCACTGCGCCGGCTTCTCCGGAACAGGAGGTCTCTTACTCCCGGACACGCAGCGTTGGCAGCATCGCTGAAGATGTGATCGGAAAGAAGGTTCGCTTCGGACGGTTCGCGGCGAACTGGCTCTCCAGGAAGACACTGGGCCTGCCCGGACTCGGCACAACCAACCAGGAATCTACCGAAGCGCCCATGGGAGATCTCAGGGAAAGCACGGCAGAGTCTCCCCCTACAATCGCCAAGGTGAACGAGGACGGCGAGGCAACCCCAGTGCCTCGAGGTGATGATGCTTCGTCGAAGAGTCTCGCGGAGCCGTTCGGTTCGGATCCTACGGTCGAGTTGCTGCCCAAGCTGCTGCGTTACACGGAGATGATTTTCTCATCGCGCAATTTTTTCTTTGCCTACGATTACGACCTTACCAGGAACCTTAGTGTGCAGGAGCCCTCGCTGACCACCCACCTCCCACTTCACAGATTGGTCGATGATATGGTGAGTACGCGGTCTTACAAGCTATGGGGCGCGTTTAGTGGCTAATCGACCATGTCCAGTATTTCTGGAATAGAAATCTGCTTGCGCCCTTCATCACAGCTGATGCTCACGGCTTTGCTCTGCCATTGATGCAAGGGTTCGTAGGTCAACGAGAATTCACGGTCGGGGCAACTCCGAAGCCTTCATCATCAGAATCAGGTAAATCAGACGAGCAACAGGTCGATGGCCGGATTCTGGGCGATAAACAGGAGGCAGATACCGTCAAGACCGATGAGGAGAAGCGCGATTTTCTCGTCACTCTAATTTCTCGACGGTCGGTGAAGCGACCAGGCTTGCGATATCTCCGCCGTGGCGTGGATGATAATGGTAACACCGCCAACTTTGTTGAAACAGAACAGATTCTCTCGACGTCTGACTGGAATCCGACACGCAATGTCTACTCGTTCCTACAAGTGCGAGGCTCGATCCCGCTATACTTCTCTCAGTCCCCGTATGCATTCAAGCCAGTCCCCGTGCTGCATCATTCCACAGAGACGAACCAGCTCGCCTTTGACAGGCATTTCCGAAATCTGAGTCGGAGATACGGCAACGTTCAAGCAGTATCCCTCATAGATAAACAAGCTGGTGAATTGAAGCTCGGGGAGCAATACGAGAAATTTGCTCGGTCCTTGAATGAATCAGGCGGCATTGATGGTGCGCCGCTCAAGATGGAGTGGTTTGACTTCCATAATGAATGCCGAGGGATGAAGTTTGAAAAAGTAAGCCGACTGGTCGACCGGCTGGAATCAACGTTGGGCGAATTTGACGACACGATGGTGCAAAACGGTACCGTTCTCCGGCGCCAGTCTGGGATCACGCGCACTAATTGCATGGACTGCCTCGATCGCACGGGCGTTGCGCAGTGTGCTTTTGGCCAGTGGGCTTTAGAGCGGGAGTTGAAGCAGGAAGGGATAGACCTCGACTTGAGACGCGATTCCTCGACACACTGGTTCAATACCCTCTGGGCGGACAACGGCGATGCGATTTCTAAGCAGTACTCCTCCACTGCTGCCTTGAAAGGAGACTATACCCGCACTCGAAAGCGGAATTATCGAGGAGCGTTGAACGACTTCGGGCTGACCCTGTCTCGTTACTACAACAACATTGTGAACGATTACTTTTCACAGGCCTGTATCGATTACCTGCTGGGGAACGTCACGACCGATGTCTTCCAGGAGTTTGCACTTGAGATGCAGACAACCGATCCAGGCATCTCCGTGCATAAGCTTCGGCAGAATGCCATTGATACCAGTTGCAAGATCGTCATCAGCGATCAATCCGAGGAGTTCCTCGGAGGCTGGACACTGCTGACCCCCCGACAGCCGAACACGCTCCGGACCATGCCATTTGAAGAGGCCGTCCTTCTTCTCACGGATGTTGCTCTGTATAGCTGCCGGTTTGACTGGAACACGGACAAAGTGTTGTCCTACGAGCGGATTGATTTGTGCTCAGTGACCAGAATCAATTATGGAACCTATGTAACCTCTATCTTGACGGAGGCTCAGACTGATGAGCGCAGCAATGTCGGGTTGGTGGTGGAATATCGCGAAGGCGACAAGAACGCATTGAGGGTCAATACACGGTCTCTGCAGAGCCAGGTGCCTTCCACGAGTCTCGACAGTAATGCGCGCCCGAGCAGTGAGTGGAGCATGTACTCGTGGTTCAAAGGCGCCCCGCACGCGGCCACCCGCCTGGTTGCATTCAAAGCCCTTCCACAGGTCATGGGGACTAGCAGTGTCAGCCCTTCGGACTGGGTTCGAAGCATCTGCGAGGAAATCGAGCGGGCCGTGACGGCAAGCGACCGGCACGGCCCTTCTGAAGATGGCAAACAGCGATCCCTGATTGATTCCTCGGACATTATCTCGTTGGAGGAAGCAAAGAAACGTACTGGATACCTGGAACATCTGGTGTATGACATTAAGAAACTGGTCTGGGCATGAGGGTTGCATTTTGTTTTCGGCTTATCTCGAAGTAAGCGAGCGGAGTTAGATTGAATGCTGCGATCTTTTGGTGTTGACGGTAGGAAGTTATACATGTCAGGCATTGCGGGTATATGATTTCTGTTTGGCAGCGGGAGTTCAGCTCATGTCCTTCGAAGACTCCAGCCCGGTTCTCGATGGAATTCTGATCATGATGGTCCGCAACGGTCCAACCTCATATTGTTGTATGTATCTCCCTGACCACGCAAAGAGACGCACGAGGGTCGATCTGTCGACTAAATTAAGCGGGCGTCCATGCATGTGCTGAGGATGCACGTGCGCACACTTTTCAATCATTCAACCATGGAAAATAGTGGCATATAGACCAGAAGAGAGCCACTTATGTTATTATGATAAAAGTCAGTGCGGTATTAACTTATCACACCTCAGATAAAGTTGAAGGGGAAATAAATGCAAGAAACGTCGATATCAGAGAGCCAGGCCATGCCAGAGATAAGATACCGGGTTTTACTGTGCTGTACCATGACCGCACAGGCAACTAGTGATCGTACAGAATAGTACAGGGTGACCACCACCCGTTTATCCCCCTCGAAGAAAGGATGGTTTGGTGATTGTAGCCTTCTTATGAACTGTGCCTTTATTGTCTATCCTACGACCAATTTTCTATGGTTCTTTGTTGTATACACCTGGTGTGGTGTATGGCCGGTGTTCAGCAATCAATAATCCCCATTCGCCCCACGGTCGCCGGCCTTTCGTGGTTGGCCTGTTATCTTTGTACTGTACATTACATTACTTCACGTCGTTGGGTTATTGCTACAAGAAATCCGGTCTGACCCCATTGAGTGATGATCATATAGGACGAGTCAGACATTATAGTATCCTTGCTATGGAGCGGAAAAGAAAGAGCATAAGGATGGACAAAGCAAGGATGGAGTAATTACTGTAGTTACAGTAGTTGGTGGGAGAAGAAGATGCTGCAGTGGTAATTAATGAGTTAATGAAAGGGTTGCCGCCTTTTTTTTTTTTTCCCAGCCAGACGGCGGGGT